CCCTCCACCCCGCTTTTCCAGATAATCCTGCGGCAAACTGGATTCACGCTCGTTCCACGAGGAAAAAGCGTTGCCCTTACACAAAATTTCAAACCCTGGAACTGGAAAAAGAATTCCTCTTTAATATGTACCTGACCCGCGATCGCCGTTATGAAGTGGCTAGGATTTTAAACCTCACAGAGAGACAGGTCAAAATATGGTCCTCCACCCCGCTTTTCCAGATAATCCTGCGGCAAACTGGATTCACGCTCGTTCCACGAGGAAAAAGCGTTGCCCTTACACAAAATTTCAAACCCTGGAACTGGAAAAAGAATTCCTCTTTAATATGTACCTGACCCGCGATCGCCGTTATGAAGTGGCTAGGATTTTAAACCTCACAGAGAGACAGGTCAAAATATGGTTTCAGAACCGAAGAATGAAAATGAAAAAGATGAACAAGGAGAAAGGCAATAAAGGGGACTAGCGCCTTGGAAGGGAGATGTGTGTACGCGTGTTTGCGGAAGATTACCGGGATTTCTCTTCAAACACAGAGACGCAAAAATATAGATATTAATTGTTGTTAACATCATTACGCGCCCAGGTGCATCGATTCAGAACTTTCAAGCGATCAGGATTCGGTTTTGCTTTGTTTAGGTAGCAGTAAATGTGGTCTGTGTCAGGTATTTCGGAGAGGAAAGGGGTGGGTGGGTAAGGGAGTCCTTATCTCGCTGGACAAGGGGTTTCCGGAACTTACTTCTTTCCCCTCACCTTCCCTTTTGGTTTTAAGAATATTGTGAGTGCGCATTAGTTTTTGGGAACTTTCTCAATATTAATTGTTGGACATGCTTCTTCCAAGTGACCTAGTCTAGAGAAACAGAGAATGAAAGGGAGCCAGTCTCTCACCCCTCACCCCCTCACACAAACACACAAACCTACAGGCAAAAGCGAGAAACAAGCCGGCAATATTGAACTTTAACGATAATTTAATGTTAACAGCACGTTGACCCAGACTTCCTAAAAGAAAGCAAATCAAATCAAAGCAAGACGAAGCAAAAGACGCTATCCGTTTCCCTCCTCCCGTAGGTTTCCTTTTGCAAGAGGTGACCCACACGGAGACTTAGCCGAGCGTAGTCTTGGAAATCTGTGTTTTCCTTCTCCGGCGGAAAGTCTCGAAAGGAGCCCTTGAAACGGCCTTAATTTCCACAGGCCCAAAGTTCTTGCAGTTTCACCGCTGGGAATGCCACTCCATGCCTTTTTGAAGGGCTTCCTCTTTTTGGGGAGGGAGGTTGATTATTTTTTGTAATTATCATTGCCTATATAATTCACTGATCGAGTGAAAATCTCCACGTTTGGGAGGCGGAGCGGGAGGGAAGGAGAAGAGAGAAGGGAAAACGAGGGGGAGAAGGCCGTCCTCCGTGTGTGTCTGTTTGTCTCTGTGCTTGCCTTTGACTTCTCTTTGTCAGGTGGAAATAAAACAGGGCGCCTAGATCCATCGCCCAGACTTCCCTACAACGTTCAGGTTCGGCCGTGTTTTTTTTCTCCAAGAGACCCACAGTTGTTGCTGTTTTTGTGCGGGGGGGGGATAGTAGTGTGAGAGAGCAAAACGATTTCTAAGCTCAAGAACCCCTCGTCCACCACAGAACCGAAAGTGGACGCTCTCTTCCGCCGCGGTACCAGCTGGGCCCAAATCAAGAAGGATTTCAGAAGATCCCCACCTCACCCCGTTTATTGCCGGATCCCTCCCACCAGCTTCCTACCCCCGATATATTTCATATTTGAACCTGACTGGCCTGCACATCCTCAGCCGCGGAACAAAAGGGAACGGATCGACAGGAAGGCTCGCTCTCTGCGGAAATCAGGCGGTGAGGCTTAATCGCTGGTCTGAGCTCGTAGCCTGTGACCTTTCCTTCTTAGAAGGACGTCCCCGCTTTTGCTTTGCAACTGCGGGGAGTGAGCTGCCCTTAAGTTTACGGCCCTTTCGTGGTGCTTGAAGGTTTGCTGCCTTCCTTTTTAAAACAAACAGACAAAATAAATAAAACGAAACATTCGGATGGTTCATCTAGTAATGTCCTCTGGTTGATACGCCGGGGAGGAAAAGGCTGGAAACGAACCAAGGAATCCACAGAGGGGGTTGGAACTGATTCATAATTATTTGAACGGCGGGATCTTTGAAAAACAAAAATTAAACCTTTACCTTGGAAATGCATTGGAAGGAGGGGTTCCTTTGACATGACCAGCCGCGCTAGAATTAATGGCGCCTGTTTAGCCATGGGTCCACTTTGCTCAATCATTTACCCCAATTACTTTATCCGAATCTAGGCGTGTCCAGGTATTTGTCTGTCCAGTAGTGTGTCAGAGCTGTTTTGAAATCCCACCGATTTCAGTGGGAGAGTTTTCAGCTTTCCAGCTGGACATCAGCGGCGCTTCTCAGGGCTTTAACTTCAGCTGGAAGGTGAGTTGTGTACATTCACTCGCTCACTCACACGTACAGACACACGCACAATGGCTATCCACAAGGTCGTGTAGACTTCTCGGGGAATGAGGGGAGACAGAATGTGTTCTGCTGACCTTTCGGAGGGAGAGAGAAGCGCTGTTTTTCTGCAGAAACCAACAGAAGGAAAAAATATGCAGGGACGGCCTGTTCAGCCCTTTCTGAGGAGCCTGAAGGTGGAGGGAGCAGACGCAGAGACATTGGGGGCCTGTTGAGTATGTAGAGAGCTATCACTTCTTCCTTTCCCTTTCCTCCCCTCCCTCCGCACCCGCCAAGACCCAGAGCGATAAAGTCTGAGGAAAAGGTGCCGCGTTTCTCCGCCATTCACTGTCAACCCTATACCTATAATTCCTTAAAAATAAAAAAATAAAAACAGGAAGAACCTGGGTATAATAAAGCCATTGAGGAGGCTAGACGTCTGGACCTAATGAGTTTATGACACGCGATGGCGCTCCCCCCCCCTTTGAGACCATCTTATTTGGATGTTTGTGTTTGTTAGGGTACAACACCCACGCAGACAACACCGGCTCTTAAAATCTGGACTATAAACATCAAGACGTCACCCGGGGAGCCGAGACACAAACACACTTCAAACACTGAAGCCTAGCGGGGGTGAAAGGGTGGCGATGGTACACACAATTTCGGTAGGGCTGGCGAGGGGGGGGGACGTGGAGTGAGTAAGGCGCCTTATTTTCGAAGGACAACCCCCTTGCCATTGAGGGAAAGGTTAGGGAAGTTGGCGTGCTCAAAGCCGCTAAGACGGAGCAAGGACAGGCTTGAGTGGCGGCAGAACCCCAGTTCACGAGAAAGCTTCATTTCGGTGCCTTTAGCCTGGGGTCGAAAGGATTTCAACTTGCCACCGATTGATCCAAGGCCATGTTTATTGATTTCAAAATGGCGGCACAGACTCAGCAACAGAGTGCGAGCTTATTGTAGGAACCTATGGAGCGTCTTTGCTTCCAAAAACCAACACTTTTTTTAAAATTACAAGTCATTTTGGTTTTGGGGATGGGCTTTTTTGGTGTGTGTGCGCGTGTTTGTTTTGTTTTGTTTGTTTTGATGGGTTGATTGGCGGTAAGGAATACGTCGAGCCTTTTCAACAAAGCAGAGGCATTTGGTAATGTAATTCCAAAATGAAGGGTGTTTAAGTGAAAGAGAGAAAGTCGTGACTGCAGAAAGCGAGCAAATGAAACCCACAAGTTCAAGGCAGCATGGTTATGAACATGAAAAGAAAATACTGTATAGGAAGGAAAATCCACAGCTCCTAGATATGGGGGTGGCTGAGTGTCATAAGATCTGCATTGAAAAAGGAACATCGTTCCCATCAAGATAATATTTCATTTTCCATAGGCTTAAAGAAGCTATTTATCTGGTTCAGCAAAATATCTATGAATGAAGAAGCTCATTCAAACAAACAAAAGGCATCATTACGTTCGTTGTAAAGATTGCCTCTTCACTTCAGATGTAGGATTGGGCGAGACACAATAACCTCTTCTTTCTTTTTGTGTGTGTGGATATAAAGAGTACTGGTTATTCCTTGTAATGATTGCACGTTGCTTAGATTTGGGAGGAGGGGTCCGTTAGTAGGTTTAGCCAACAGAGATTGTTTTCAAACAAATAAAAATATTTCTAAATTCATAGAAATCAAATGCCAATACATTCCTTTCACGGACAGCTTTGGAAAAGTATAAACCTGTGGCACAGACTTCCTTTGCCGATGGGAATTTCGTTTTTCCACTAGAGGGCAGTGTTGTTCCATTCTCCGATAATTTTCGGTATCTCACCGGGTCTATGTATTTATTAAAATATGCATCGACGGTGCCTGATGTTCTCTGAAGCCATGGATTTAGTGTTTGCGGCCTAAAATAAATGAACATAATCAGGTACTTTACTATGATCTAACTAATCATGCCGGGAAAATGTACGCAGATCTCATCTACAGAAGTTCTCACAAACATGACACCACTTTTAATTATTACAGACTATTGGACATATGAAGAAGGAACCTGTATCTCCAGGTGAGTTGGAGAGCCACGCACTTATAATTAAAATTCTTGCAGGAAGTTCAGCGAGAAACAATTATGTACAGATATGTGTATATAGCATATCTATAAAGAATGAAATATTTGTGAAATAGAATAGGAGACAAGTTATTCTTTAGTAGGAGCTGTTGTCTTTGTTAACACTAGAAAATTCTCCAAGTCCTTTTTGAATGTGTGATCATATTTCTTGCCTGTTTTGAAATCTGTTTTCAAACCCAAAAAAATAAAAGCTGCAAAACTGCACGGCATTAGAAGACAATGAACGTCAAGGCCCTTTCTGTCAATATGGAAACTGTATTTGGGAGGATTCCCCTTCCACCCTTGCCCCAAAAGGCACTCAGGAGAAACAAAAGGATTCCTCCCCCCCCCGTTTCAAGGCCATTCATCTTTCACTCCTACGTGAGGGGTGGAAAGGCACAGGGGACTGTGTGTCTCAATAAAATTAATTTCTCCTCAAAAATCTTTCCTTAAGTACTGTTAATTATACATAGAAAAGGAATTTCCTTCATATCTAGCATTACTATGTATGCAGCTCGTTTTATACACATAGATATGTGCTGTGAGTCATCAAGCTAAAACTAAGGGAGAGATACCCTATTAAGATAAGTCACATATTTAAGGAGCGGCTTCACCCAGGCCATCTTGCATTCCCAGTGACTTTCTGTGGCTTTAGTAGGTGATTAGAACCTAGGCATCCTGAGTCCTAGCTCCCCACGCTATCCATTGCACCACACTGGCGATCACAGAGCGCTGAGCAGCAAATCAAATTTGCTGGAACTGACCACTAGATAAATGGGAATAAGACTGGTGCCAGGAAAAACAAGGGTAACAAAGTGAAGTGAAGCAAAACAGAGCAAAAAAGCAGAAGTATATGGGCCACCTTGAAGATAATGGATTTATTTCATTTGTGGGTTACAGTCCACTCTGTCAGAGATATGGAATACAAGCTCTTTCGACCACAGATTGGTACACACAATGAACTATGGTTGTGGGGTTGGGGACCAAGTCCGGTGGGACAGTGGCACAGGCAACGGACTTTGAACAAACAGCACAGAAGAGCCAGAAAAAACCAATCCCAGGAAGACGGCGGGGTCTCTTATATGCTCAAAGGAGGTGGCCTGACCTGTTTTGATTCCACTGCTTTGCTCTGAGAGCAACCTATGGCTTTACTGCCATCTGCGGGGAAATCTCGCAAAGCTTGGAACCAAGTCAAGTGGCAATAGGGGGGCCGATACCAGTATTTCATCCTAATTCTAATGTCAATGTTAATTCTAGAATTCATGCTCATGCTCATACAGTGTTCATACAAACAAAGTCCATGATCTGCTTCATCAATAGAGGAAAAATCGTTGGAACAAATCAGGCAAAACCAAAGGAGGAGGAGGAGGATGGTGATGATGATGATGATGATGATGATGATGATGATGATGATGATGATGATGATGATGATGATGATGATGATGATGATGACGACGACAAAAACCTTATGGCACCTTCAAGACTGCTCCATGTTAATGTGAGCTTCCGTGGAAGTCCATTTCATCAGTGATACCTTAGTGGTTAGTGGTATTACCAAATCAGACCGTGACTGACAACACAGCAGCCAGGGTCTTGTAGTCTTCCCTCTTTTAACATTACAGACTTAAGGGATGGCGACCTGCCCCCCCCCCCAAAATACGTATTATTCTTCTGCAGCCCAAAATCACGTTTCACTGAATAGATTCCGTTTAAAATTAGCTTTCTTCCCTGGCTGCGGCACGTGCTTTCCGCCTTCCCTCTGTCGCTATTGAGTTAGAATTTCCTTAATGGAAACCACAGCATAAATTTTACGCCAGGAGAAATTCATTTGGGTTTCTCTGAATAAATGTAGCAATTTTCAAAGAGTAAACACGTATGTGCTGGGGGTGAGTTGATTTTTTTTTAAAGTCAGGGGTAGCGTGAGAGGAATAAAAGGGGAACAGGAGAGAGAAAAAAGAGAGAGGAAAAGCAAAGGAAGGAAGGAAGGCGTTCTATATCCACAGATATTTTATATGACTCGCCGCACTGGTCGCTTTATCATACTGCTCTGTCTGGCTTTACTGTATAAAGTTTGGTGTCCATATCGCTGTTGCAGTGAAGCCCGATGAGATTGGAGTTTATTTTATGTAATCTGAAAATCTGAAGGCGTGTGTGTTTTGTTTTTAAGTTATACCTGCCTCCTTCTCTCAACTGAAGGAAAACTCTGCTTTGCACGAAATGCGTCTTACTGGAAATCTACCCGGACCACCGCCTTCCAACGGAGACCTCTTTCCCCAGTTAAACCGGCGCCCTGGTGGATGTGAGAACTTCCCCGGGCCATCCTGTGCCTAACGCCTCCCTCGCTACGGGTTGCCTGCGACTTGCTCTCTGTTTCAGCTTGTCTGTGCACCGGGGGGGGGGGAATCAAAGAGGGCTCCCCAAGTCCCCGATCCATTACTGCAAGGCGAGGGGCCAGACGGTGCCGCGCCCTGTGAGCGCAAACCCGGCGAAGGGGCGAGTTCGGGCCCCGTGGCGCCAGCCCGAAAGATCCCTGCCGACCGCCTTGGGTTCCTCCCTGCGCAACCGGCGACCACGCTGGCGTTTGGATGGGCCGCGGCAGCAGAGCCGGCCTGGGCCGAACTCAGTCGCCGTCAACTGGGAGGGAAGGGCGGGACGAGGAGCAGCGGCGCGCACCAGACCGCCCGCCGAAGGGCAAAGGTGTCCGGCGACCGGGCTTGCGGTGGTCCTCCTTCCCTCCCTCCTTCCTTCCTTCTTTCCTTGGGACAACTTTCCTTTATTTTGGGATTCGACCTCAAGTTATCCCAGAGCTCACC